GGGCTTATGACCCACCCTTTTTATGACACTATTTCAGCACAGATATTCTTAGTTAGAATTCTAAGTTATTCCTTTGAAACAGAAATAGAAATCACCTCTCAGCTAGCAGTTTCTTCAGCTATGGGATTGTCATACGTGCATACACATACATACAAGTGTGCCATATAAATTAATATGAAATCTCTATCCTGTCACACAGTTTACTTTACATAGTTGTATTTTTGTTCCATTTGGGATACTCTGTAAGCTAGTGGTTTCTTTATATTTGTTTTTCTTTATGTGGATTAATAGTCATTTTACAAAATGCTTTCTTGTTTGGGGCATGCTGCTATGGCATGGCCATCCTGTGGAATCGTTATGAACTTCTGCATTCTTTGTAAAAAAAGATACAGATCTCATTTCATTTACTCATACCCATACAACCGAAATAAAGGCTATAACGTTTTGATCCAAAAAAAAAAGGCAGCAAGTAGCAATAAAATTCTGGATCTATTATATACTGTGATGTCTCTATTTCGTCTGTTTAAGCCTTATGTTTAGCACAAGAATAATTGGCTCTGGTGGAGTGTTTAAGATGTGTATTTCTCACGGTAGCTCTGGTACCCAAGTTATTGTTTGGACCATGCAAACAATTTGGTAGGCATGGTTCACAAATAGAGATTTGAGCAGCTAGAAAAAGAATTTAAGAAACCTATACTGAGAAAGAGGATTCAGTTTTACAAACAAACCAAGCATCAGGTCTTCGGATCTCAGGCATGAGAAGTGAGATTTTGTAATTGCATCTTTTTTGTTTTTCCACAGAATTGTTAAGAAAAGACAGTTGCTCTTAAGTTTTATGTTTCATGAATTTTTCACAACTGAGAATTATGTCATCTTGGGGGTTTTTTTCGTAGTAGTACTGATTTGCCTACATTTAAGTCTAATAATAGTTTATTAAACTTGGCATGTGGAATAGCAGAATCTTAGTGATGGAAAGTTTGGGATTCATTTCTTTTAGCAGTTTGAAGATATCCATGTCACACGAAGTTGCCTTATGCAGCAAGTTGTTCGGTTGTAAGCTGCTTCTGCCAGTGACTTCGTTTATGGGAGAAAATAATCTGGCTGTGAGAAACTAGACTTATTTTAAAGTAATTGACAAGAACGGTGTCTGTGATCCCCAATATAAGCTTTTTCCAGTCACTTTGGAGAGATTAGATGTCTCTTAACATCATCTTACTAGCAGTGAAGTTACTCCAAAAGGACTTCTTTAATCATATTAGTTTCGCTGCCATCGCCCCGTCTTCAGATTCTTTCTTCTTTCCTAATAGAACCAAATCTGCTTTTGCCATCTCTTAGGTCCAACATTAATGCTTCTTTGCATATTAATTACTGTTACTTCACCTATAACTTTCAGCCCACTATCTTTTGGCTCCCCAGTTTTGAATCTGAAGGCTTGGAGCTGTTACTTTTTCCATGTGGCAGTAGAAAACACTATATTGTGCTATTTGGTTTTCTAATGGCTTTGTATAGGAATTATTAAATATAGAATGAAGTAAAGCAGAAGGACGTAACAGTTGAGTCAGGAATTCACCCAGTCTCTGTTTTGGCTTGTAATATGATTTATGAATGAATTTTCTCTGTATTATAAGAAGCTAGCCTTGGCTCCTTATCCTAAATATTTTATCAAACTGTTTAGGAAACTTCTGAGCAATGTAGTATCTTAGTTTCACTTATACTGGGGGGCAGGGGGGAAGTTTAAGGAAGTTTAAGGAAGTTTTTTGTTTTAAAAAAGAAGGAAGGAAAAAAAAAAGAGGAAAGTGGTACTGGAGAGGGAATGAGCTCTCAAAAAGAGCTCTCACAGATTAAAAGATAATTGTTACTATTCCAGACAGGATTTGCATTGGAACAGCTATTAAAAAACCCAAATGCTACATATGTCAGTTTAGAACTCGGACCATATCATCCTATAGAAATTGTAGCTCTGTAGCATTTTTTTGGTTAAGTAAAAGTCAGTTAGGCTAACATTTTGTTATGATCTGGAGGTGAAATTATTTTCTGAAAGAATTATAAAAGTATATTGTAGATTATAATTATATATTAAAAGGTACTTTACATTTTAGTCTGTATAATCATGTACTAAAATGTACTTCACATTTTTAGTCTGTATACAGATTTAAGAAAAAAATTAAACATATGTAGAGGAAAAGATCAGGAAAGGAAGGAAAGGATCTAGTGCAGATTACACTATATGAAACATATGTTTGAGATAATGCTGATAGAGCTGAAGTATGTGGCCTGCGTTATACTTCTGTATACAAATGATGTGCTCGTTCCATCTCTACGCATACACACACAAAATTTTACTTTTGACATAGTAGGGAATAATGCCAATGAGTAATTAAGAAAGCATGGAAGCAAAAGTCAGTCTTGTGATAAATTTCCGAGATGGTTAATATTATTTAATACATGTTACAGCTGTGATAGTCAAAGGACACAACTGAGGGTTTGAGGGGAGATGACATGTCTTTTATTACACCATATAGTTCAAATAGTTTGAAAAAATAGGCAAACTTTCGAGCCTCAATTTTTCTCTCTCAGATCACAGTATCTATAAGAATCTGTCTTGGGATATTAATGTGCAAGGCAATGTTTCTGATAGTCATTCATTTCCCAACTCTGGTCAGAAATGAATGTTTCTTTTTCAAAGATTTGTAGTAATGTGGTTCTCGGAGACTGCAAATAGATGGTTTAGCTGAATACAGACAGTGCATTAAAAATGTCTAAAGAAGAAAAATAGCAGTTGGAGAGAGAGATCAGTTCAGTACTCTAGAAGCAGTAACTGGCATTCCAGGGCAATGGGATCTTTAAATATACAGTAATTTTCATCAGATTTTCTTATGAAACCTTTAATAAGCTTGAGCTGAGTCAACTACATCTGTTTGGTAGAACATCGGTTTCTCATCTCGATATTATCACATCCCCTGTGAAAGAATTCCAGGGAACTGCAGTTACTTGTAAAGCAGGGAGGGAAAAGGGGAAATACTGTGTGAGGTTTTTAGTGAAAATGCTAATTTTCAGGATTTTATTTACAAGAGAAAACATATGTGCTTGCAACGTCATACATTGCAGTTAGCTGTAAGGACAACGGTTTTATGTCACAGATACGATGCTCCTATACTTCGTTTAAGAAGCTACAGAAGAAATGTAGTTAGAAAAGTAACTAGTGAGAGTTCTATGCAAATGTAAATCTAAATTAATAAATGTATACTCTGCTGCTACTGTAAAGGAGCAATGTATATTCTGTATACTTTAGGAGTAACACAGGTTTACCACGTACAACTTTCATTCCTTACCCTTTCAAGTTCCCCCACGGAAGGCAGGCAGCGAGCCGACTCCCCGCTGTTCTGCTGCCGCACCGCAGTCCCCCGCCTCCGATGCCACCGCTGCGTCGCACAACATGTTTTGCTCCCGAGGACTGAAGGATAATCTGTGATCACATAAAAGAGAGTTGTGGATTCTGAAGTCTGTCTCTTGCATTTTGAAGGTCGTGTATCTTATCTATACTGTTTGCAGAGTCTTAAGGGTTCTCTGCATTGGCCCGTGTCATCCTCTCTCGGCGTGCTCTGGTTCCCTCGCCCGGAGGAGGACGTTCTTTGATACATTCCTGGTGCACATTAGCACATTATGATGAATTACAAGTCTATAATCTGTAGCAGTGACTGATAAAAGATTGATGATACGTTGATATCTCATTAGCAGGCGGCAGATCATTTCTTAAGGAAAAAAAAAAGAAGGCATTGACATTATATGTAGTGATTATATGCCACAAACTACATTTCTTCACCTATGGGGGCACCCCCTCCAGGAAGGTAAATCTTGCTCCATCCATGCTTTGGGCAGGGGGGAGCTGTATTCATCTGCGTATGTGAAGAGAGGGGGAAGAGCAATAAGAGAGGCCAAGAAAAGGGATAGAGAATCCTTTGAGTCTCCTTCCTACCCCAGCTAACAGCCTGTCTGAGAAAATCAAGGGGTTTGCGGTTTTTTGGGGGTTTTTTTTAACCTTGTTTGTTCTTTATTTCAGGTTATCTGTGATATGGAGAACCAAATCCACAAGCTGAGGGAAGAGCTTCTTCAGGTGAATGCTCAGCGGAAGCAGCAGCTGCTGGAGCTGAGCCATCAGTGGGACGAGGAGAAGCAGAGGGCAGCTCGAGACCATGAGACAGCCGTGAATAAGCTGAAAGTGGAGGCAGAAAAAATGACATTAGACTTGAAAAAGATACATGCGGCAGAAACAGAGGTGGCCTTGGACAAGGTAAGAGGTTCACGTAGGGCTGCTTCTTGTGGCATGGCAAAAGGGGAGCAATCACCCCAGAAGTCAGATAAGCAAAGTTTCACTGAGGAAAAATGTTTAGGGGTCACTTGAGTTGAAAAAACAGACGTATGCTGTAGATCTGACATCGGATGTCGTGGCGCGAGTATGGAAAGGTTTGTGGTTCTATAATGAAAGATGACTTTTCTTTGAGCATGCGGTGGCGGTGGTCGCTGCTGTAGCTGTTTTCCCTACGAGCGGTGCTGGGGCAGCACCTTCCAGCCATGGTAAGCGTGGAACGGGGACAACCGTGTGGTGCTCGGGACTTTAAAAATCCAGATAATTTCAAAGGCAAAGCCAGCCAAGGACTAGGCTAATCACTTTTCCTTTTGCTGGAATAGATAGTGTAGAAAGGGCAATTCTATCTAACCAAGCTTTTTCTCCCTTAAAAAGAGGGAAACTTCTTAAGGAGGAAAAAGTTCAGGCTAAAACTGCAAGGAAATTGGGTCTAGTTGCTAACAATGGCTGGTCTACTTTTGCCTGTGTGCATCCGGTGAGCAAGTACTGTGTGAAACGCTTGAAAATAGAAATTAATGTTTCAGATAAATCAAGGCTTCCCTCCCCATTCTGTTCAGTGGGGTCACTGACTGCTCATCACTGCTTGCTGAGCATCCCCGTGAACCAGCGTCTTGAATTCAAGTATTTCACCACATTAGGGATGAAATGAGCTAAAACATGTGAGTTTTATTTCAAAAGCTAAACTAAAAAAACCCTACTTAATATTTATGGTAGACGCTGTGTATATGTAAGCAGATAGTTGTTGAAGTATCTTTTATATACATTAATGCAATAAATCATACATTTTATTGCAAAGTGATGTACCGTGGCACAAATTAACAATCTGCATATACTGTTTGAACAGCCTTTGTGAAAGTGACATTTCATTTACCTGCGTCAGGTTCTTGGTCTGTAATTTTAAACAGCATTCGGAGGATTATGTTGGAAATCAGCCAGCCTGAAGCCATTAAAATGGCTGTGATCAACAATTCAGAATCTTTTCTGAATGTAAGGAAAGCTCCACTTGGCATAATTATTTAAAGCCAAGGTCACAGAAAGTATTTAAACCTTTGAAATTCATCATTAAAGGATTAATTTTAACTCAGGAAGACATTGTCATTTTTGCTTAAAAATGGTATTTGAATCTCAATTCTTTTCTTTCTTTGATCTTTTTTTACATGTGTAGTATAGCAAAAGAAAAGTTAACTTCTTTACATCCTCAAATTAAAGTTACAAATAATCCTTCATAGGGAAATATCTTTAATAGTCTTGAATTGTCATTTCTGTCAGAAATACTATTTTTTTAATTTGTTGGATTTTTTCTATTTTTCAAAAAAAATTGCTAATTTTAAGCTATATTAACTGCTATTGAATTTTTTTTTTTTATTTAACCTACTTCCCTATATTTACCTCTAATCAGAAGAGCACATGTTGAGTAAAAGAGGAGGGGAAAAAAAAAACGTATCTCTGTTGGAAAGTCTTCCACAGACATGTGAAAATACGTTGTATTACCTTCAAATCTCCCCTTACCATTCTGCTTCGTTTCTGTCTTCCAAATGTAGAGCTGTGGAAATTGGCCACAAAGCCCAATAGTCAAAGTAGCTTAGAGGGCAAACCCCATTTAAAGCTCAAAAGTTACGGTTTCAGTTAACTTTGTTCAAATCTTGATCCTATTAAAGTTCACAGAACTTCGATGAAGGAGATTTCATCCAAGCGGGGGGGAAAAAAAAGCGTCTTAATTGCAGCATGAGTCTTGAAACTCGTTTTTAAAAGTCTTTTTATTTTTCTAGCAAATCTTGTTACCTTGAAATTTAGGACAATATGGGAGAAAAATTTGTTCTCTAAATTTACTTTTTTCTGCCAGTTTTGTAAAGATTGCTTAAAAATCCAAGGGGAAGCTGAATTTCACTGTTTAGGCTTGGAACATCTGACTGTCCAGATTTTCTGAAGGTCAGTCCGTTCCCAAGTGAAGGATCTCATTCCTCTGTGGTCTGTTTTGTGAGTAATACTGATTTCTGTGTGGATTGCTTTGTGTAATTGTGGACTGTTGTTCACGTGAACGTGATGAAATACAAAAGAAATGGCTAACGCTTAAGTGAAAAGAAAAATTGAAGTAAAAATGGGCAGAAAGAGATATAGGATTCATATGGAATTGCCCTCCCCATAGCCCTGCTGCAGCGGGGATGGGAAGGAGGAGAGTGGGGGGCAGAGATAGAGGAACAGTTCATTGCAAGCGCACTGGACATTTAAATATTTGTTGGTATTTGTAGACAGCTTTTCGGTCTTTAGGGACACATAATTTACTGAAGTCTTTAATTTTCTGTTGCTTAAAAATCTCAACTTTAAAGATAGTACATTGTTTGTTGTAATATTTTATTGGATTTATTTTGTTAGTGATTACAGCATACAATGCCAGAAAGTTGCTCAATAAACGTAGTACGGTAATGTTTTCGAACCTGTGATTATAAAAGCAAATATCTTTTGACAGTTATTGCATCTCCCAGTCACCAGGGAATGATAAGTGGGAAAATATTTAACAGGTTGCCAAATGGCACTGGGTAACCTGCATGATAGGAAAAATAAACATGGTGTCTGTTGTTGGGGAAATAATAATAAAGGGAAAAGTCCATAATTTTCTAGTGACCTTCCCTGTTGCAGATATTGTTTTCAATTAAACACCGCTTTCCTACCACGTGAGCTATAGCTGACCTAAATATGCACATTAGGAGTGGTGTTGAACCTGTTGCGGAGCAGTTGGGCACCTCTGAGACTTCTCCGTGCCGAGTGCTGCCCCTTGAGCTGCAGAAGCGCTGGAGAAGGTGACAAGGGCTCTGCCTGAACTGCAGTCAGAGGACTTCTGTAAGCAAGGTCCTTATCACCAGCCTGGTACGTAGAGCCAGATAGCCCAGGCGTGTGCTGGGCTAACGCGATGCAGAGGCAGCTGCTCTTGCTGGGCAGTGCGGAGATTCATCTTTAGCCTTGCTTTTTGCTAGATCAGGTGCCACAGCCCGATCACACATAATCACCTTATTGCTCACCTTTTAAGACGTAACATGGTAGTTATATTAGAACACTGAACCGCCTTATTGGATAAGGATAACAAATTTTAATGTCCTTAAGGTCAGATAAGCCATGCTGGACATAAATCAGACCAAAATTCAAGACGATAGCATGGAGAATTTGAAGCAGTACTTACCATGTTCTTAGGACTTCAGTACTTTCATAATATCTGTTATCAGTCTCTAACATAAAATGACTTGAGAATATCTCCAAATTATTTCTTGTCTATTAGTTAAGGAATCTTAAATATTGTTTCAGAAGAACACGTATTCAATCATAATGATTTTGATTTACTTTTAAAGTATAGATTTAATTTGCTTGCATTTCATTATAGCAAGTGATTATAGCAGTTTCTGATGTGGTGGTAGGTTTTTTTTTTTATTTGAAGTCATGCCTCCTTATGATGAAATGAAACATAAAGTGTTTAAGAAACAAACATTTTAGAGATACATAGTACTGTAGTTAGGCTCCACTAATGACTAATTTCAGCAGGGAGACAGGTGTGTTATAGGTTGCATCAGCAGCACTTACGGCATGAACGCTAATCAGCCAGGTGTAACGGACTGTACAAAGCTTATGAGCATTTTCAGGTTTGCCAGAAATTACTAAAAGCAAGAGACAAACTGCATTTCTAAGTGCGTGCAGATGTGAAGCTTGGCTAACACAACTGTTTGTAACATTCATCTGTGGTATTTTCTTGGCAAAGAAAATGAGCATTCAGAAAGCATGACCCGAGCGGATCAGTAGACATGCTAACAATGCTCAAAGGAAGCAACCTTGGAACTGAAAATATCTCATAAAAAAGCTCTCTTCGAGCAGCGCACATGAGTAAATTGGAGTGGGAGAAAAAGGGTTTTTTTTCCCCTCTCTAAATAATTTTCAACATTTAGCTTTTTATTGACTTCTCTTCTATATTTAAATAGATATTTTGACTCATCCTATTAAATCTTTATGCAGGTTCCAGTAACACTGATACTTTTTCAGTGCTGCTTTTCTTGTGGAGAAGTAATTTACATTTTTGTGTATTGACCGTACTGAGCACACATGACAGTTGATTACAGGATGAAACTGTAGTCAAAAAAAAAAAAAAAAGGAGAGTCAAACATTTTAGTTTCTGGACTGCAATTCTTCTGATTTCAGTATAGTTGTGAAACAGTTCACTTTGGAGAGATGGGACTCCAAGATGGCATGCAACCTGGCCAGAGCCGAACTTGTAGGTTTTAATGATATAGCAGTCAGTTGTACCCTGAGATTTCTGTTATTTTAAATAAAAATTGACATTTACCATGTTTTCTAGTCTATACCTGTTACAATCACTCCAACCTATGTGTGGTGGGAAGTTCACATAAAACTAAAATGCCCAGGAAATTCAAAGTTAAGGTTAAAATTTTAAAAACTATAAAAGAGTTAAAAGTATTGTACTTGGTGTAAGTGACCGCTTCCCTAATTAGGAGTATCTATTTTATATAATAGTTACGTTGTAATATAATGTTTTTGTAACCAGGCCTTTTTCAAAAATCTGCAGACAGTGTCCTATAATTGGATGCTTAATTTTTGAACAACTTCTACTTGCATACAGTTTGCAAATAAGGTACTGATAATGCGCCCTAGAGAGCATTTCAGTCCTTCCTTTATCATCAAGCTTTGTGATGCTGGATTAATTAACTAGCAAGTACAGCCCTGGGATGCAGTCCAGCTGGACATGCTCGTTGGGCATACTTTCATACTGCGTATGTAGGAATATCTTTAATTCACAGTATCTGTTCTGGCACTGTTGTCAGTACTCATACAGATGATGTCACGCTGTTCAGCACTGGCAAAGAAATAGAAGATGAAGAGAAAGAATATGACGTCTTCAGAGATTAAAGAGATACTCCAAGAGATAC